GGGCTGGTTCGAGACCCATGTCAAACTTATGGTCAAACGGGATCATATCAACGGTCCAAAAATCTGACCGTTGTAAATCAACGATCATAATTTTTTTAATTTTTTTTTTCATTTGGGTCGGGTCGACTCGCCCCGTGACTTGGGTCAAACCCGCGGTCGAAATCGGACCGTTGCAGCCTGCGGTAAAAATAAACCATTGCGGTCAAAATACGGTAAAAAAAATAAGGAAAATTCAAAAAAAATCCCCAAAAAATTCATAAATACTGTTATTTCGGTTTCTGTTCTATATAAACTCTCTTGTTTTTATTTTCTATCATCTTAACCTTTCTTTCTACATAATAGATCCGGCACGGACCTAGGTAAGAGCCGATTCTGGGTCGGGCATTTCACACCCAGAAATCCGTCGGACCGAGTTGGGCTCGGCCCTACCTGAATTTTGGCCATGTCTAAATTAGGCAGCTACACAATAATTGAAGCATGAAGTCAAAGTCAAAGTCATATATTAGTATAATCTGATTTTTTTTTTCCCCCACTTTGCACGTTTTCCGTTTTCCGGATGAAAAGAAGACGACAGACATAAACAGCCGGGGTGTGAACTGTGAAAGCGCAAAAGCATCTGCCACGGACTGCCAAAAATGGGTAGCCCCAAATTATTAGGCATAGAAATGACAACCCCACTCAAAACGACGTCGCAGCCTCGCACGTGCCGCCTACAATATAACAACCAACATCACATTGTTTTCGGTGACGCCCTCTTTACATTAGATAGATAAGCACAACACAAAACTAAAAACAATCGACCCACGCACACGCGCGTAAGAGCACAACTAATCGCAGGCAGTCTCTTCTTGTGTTCTTCTCTAGTTCATTTCTTCATCGGTGAAATAATCAAATTAATCAATGGCCGAGGTTTTATTCTTTTCATAATTGTCTCCCATTAATTTTACTTATATTTTTCATTGGTTGGTTTATATAAATGTGTTTACCTGGCGCATAGGAAGAAAAGAAGGCGACAGTAGCAGAGGATAAGAAACCGGAGGAGGAATTGGAAAAGGCGGCGGCAGAAGAAGAAGAGAAGAAAGAGCCGCCGCCTGAAAACGAGAATAAGGAGGAGAAAAAATCGCCGGAAATTGTTCTAAGGGTTTTCATGCACTGCGAAGGATGCGCTAGAAAGGTCCGCCGGTGCCTCACAGGCTTTCAAGGTACGCGAGCGTGATCGAATTTAATTTAATTACAACATTTAACAGTAATAATATGGTGCATGTAATTAATTGATTAAAAAAATTAATTAATGATGGATATCAGGTGTGGAGGAAGTGGAAGCAGATTGCAGGGGGAGTAGAGTAGTGGTGAAAGGTGAGAAAGCAGATCCGGTAAAGGTATTGGAATGGGTACAGAAGAAGAGCCACCGCAAAGTGGAGCTTATCTCTCCAATCCCTACACCACCACCGCCGCCGCCACCTCAACTAATAACTGAGGAGCTTCACAAAATTGAGGAGGTTTATTACATTTTTTTTTCACTTTTTGTAATTCTTATCATCATCATTATCATCTTTGGAATATATATCTTCTCTTATTTTATTTTATTTTATTTTAATTTTAATTTTAATATGCTTTTTAAATTAAGAACTAATTTTTTTACTAAATGCTTTTCTATCAAATATATCATTCATTCAATACACACACATATATATATATATATAACACAAATGGCTATTCTTATTTTTCTCATAACATTAAAAATTCAGAAAACATGTAACTTTATATTAAGGGTGAATACGAGTCGGTAAGCTTCGAAGATTTAGAAATCTTCAAAATCGTATTGAAATATTCGAAAAGCTCTAAAATTGAATCTTTGGAAACGTACTCAAAATCGGGACGATTCTGTTTTGTTTGGCCATTTTTATTTCTAGTTCGGTTCAAGATACAAGACTATTGTTATGTTCGGAGGTACGAAGATATTTTTTTTAATGACTAACTAGTTATAGATAAATTTTGATATGCCTGTTTTAAATGAATTCCAAAATTCATAATTTTTTATCCATATTAATAATTTTACTTTGAAATTATTTTTAAAAAAAATAAAACTAAGTCATAATTTAGCTAAGACTAAATTTGTGCTGACTAGGACTAAATATGGAAATTTGAAATCCAAATAAAATATAACATGATATGTTTTAAAAATATTTCTCTAATTTTGTATGTCATTTCAATTATAAGAAGGAAAGTATAAGCAAATATAAAATTATATTATAGGATTACAGTTGACATAATTTATTTTAGTTAAGTATTAGTATTTTTAAAGTTGTAATGACAATTAAAATTCATTTAAATTTTATACATAATAATAGTTGACCTACATTTAATATTTTTTTATTTAGAATTTTTGTAAAAATAATTTATAACTAATACTCAATAATATTTGTTAATTTTAGTGCAAAATTTTTCAAACATGTGTTCTTTGGTGCTTGGTCATCTAATGTGTCGAAATGTGGTGCTTCATAATCATATTTGTTAATTTTAGTGCTCCGTAGTATTCCATATAGATATAGACTTAAATCCATGCCAATTAAGATTTTTTTCAATTATAAAATAATTTACTAACATAAATTACAAATATATTTTAAAAGACAATAAACTTTTGCATTTGTTACCATATATCATATATCAACTTCATTTTCTATTGGAAAACTTCGTATTAGCATCCATATTGTATATAAAAAAAAAAACAAATAGTTGTGTTTATCTTTATAATAACAACTTAGTTATCTAATAATATTAAAAATATTTTTAATCAATTATAAAAATTTATTTATAAAAATATTATATGATATGAGTTAGAAAACTTATTATAATCAAGACGAGTAAGTCGCGCAAGTAACAAATGTCGTTTTAAATGAACATAATTATATAATTTATCAAAAAGTATGCTAAATTTTAAACAGAACCTTCACTTTTTTTAATGAATTTAATTATATGTTTTTAAGTAACTCGGGTGTTATACTAATATAATGTTATAATTAGGTTTGTAATTTTGGTTGTTCAACTAGGTACGGTATGAGACAGTTGGTTCGGTTTTCAATATGAACATTTGTAGAAACTTCATAACTTATTATATTTTCAGATCGGTTCATAGTAATTTCGGTTCGATTTTTTAAACGATTTGGAATTGTTTGAGTCCAATGTTCAATTCTACTTCAAATTATTATTACCCGATGTGGTTTGGTGAATATGATTGTTGGTATTATATTTAAAGTAGTGATTATTGTTACTGCTGCTATTAATTATGTTTTCTCAGTATTAAATTTTGTGGGTTTTCACTGTGCGGAAAATATTAAATTTTGGCCGTCTATTCATGAATAAGAGGCACATTTGTTTGCTTTTGGGAATTAGATTCCACTTAATCCTATATTACTGCAGCCAAACGTAATTACTGTGGTGTTGGGAGTTTACATGCATTGTGATGCCTGTGCTCAAGAAATCAAAAGGCGCATCCATAGAATGAAAGGTACACTTGATTTTGNAATTATTCCCATTCAGAAAACAAATGCAATTTTTATTGTACTTTGGCTATTGGCATTTCATATAATATTCAATATTGTGCTCTTTAAAATGTAGTAACTAAGTATAATTAAATAATATGTAAAATGTAATGATTAAAATTGATGGGATATCGAAGTATGAGAGAGACAATGGAAATGAAAGTAGTTAAAAATATATGAGTGAATAAATAGTAAATTAAAATCAATGCGATTTAAGAGAGAGATGAGATGATATTACTTAATTATATTGATATTATCGAATATATTTGAGTTGAATTACATTTGAGTTGAAGAAAGTACAAAAAATTGATCAAGTCATCACCGATTAAAATCAGTTTTAACTTGCAACCAATCACGCCCTATATAATTATTTCTTATGAGGTAACAATTTCAAAATTATGATTCATATCCCATACTTTAGTTATATTCTTGGTACACTATTTCATTCTTCTTTTTCTGGTTTTAGTTCAAATTGTAGAGCCAGATTTAAGAGGCTCACAAGTTAAAGTCAAGGGTTTCTTCGAACCTCAGAAACTCGTCGATTATGTGTACAAAAGAACTGGAAAACATGCTACGGTCATCAAAGTCGAGCCCGAAAAGAAAGAGGAACCGAAACCCGACGAGACCCAAGAAGCCAAAGAGTCGAAAGAAAACAAAGAGAACAAAGCCGAGAAGGAATCTGAAGAAAAGGAAGAAAAGAAAGAGGAACAAATTGGCAAAGAAAACAACGAAGACGCCGGAGAAGATGGCGGCGCCACCACCACCGCCGCCGCCGGAGGTGGTGACGGTGGCGGCGAGCCGCCAGCTAAGGAAGAGGCTGATGAAGCTAAGGACCAGAAGCAAGAGTTGATAAAGAAGGAGTTTTACTATTACTACCCACAAAATCACCAGTTGAATTACCCGATTTACCCTCCGAGGTTTGTGCACGAAATCAACGCTTATCCTCCACAGATGTTTAGTGACGAGAACCCAAATGCATGTTCCGTTATGTGAATATGGGGGCAATATGGGTACAAAGGGAAAATTAATGGTAATATTGTGTCCTTGATGAAATATATAACCATGTGGACGTTGACCAAGTCAAGAGTGAAGAATGATAGCTTGTATTTATGTCCACCTTTGCATGCATGGGACCACTACTTTTATTTTTGAATTCCTTGTCTTTTAGCTATGGTTGTTAGGGCTTTGATCTCTACATATAAATATTGTACACAGTGAACTCATTGGGAATAGAATACACATAATTTCAGATCTGATGTGATTCATGTTAGCCGCCATGTACGGCCTTCTTCTTCTTGCTTGCGCTGTAACATAAAATTCTTCATGGTATCAGAGCCATCACTCCCTCATATCTCTTCATTTATTTCTTTTCCTTTTTGATCTTTTGGGCCTTTTATTGATCTCCTTTCCCATGGCTTTTTCTACTCCAAATTCTGGAGTCTCGAGTTCTGCAAATTCCAATGGAGGCCTGAACCAGTTAATTTTTCCTCAGTCCCAACTCATCTCTACCAAGCTCGAGGACTCAAATTTCTTGATATGGAAGCAACAAATCCTCACGGCTATCAGAGGATATGGTCTGGAGTCTTTCATTGCCACAACAGCTGCTCCACCTGAGCGTTTCATTCCACCAGAACAAGGGAACATTCCCATTGTCAATCCAGAATATGATCTTTGGCAAAGACAGGACCAACTTCTGGCCTCTTGGATCTTGTCTTCTCTCAGTCAAGGTATACTTGTTCTTGTAGTTTGCTTTTCCTCCTCTAAAGAGATATGGAATGCTCTTGAAAGAAATTTTGCTAGTCAGTCACGAGCTAGGATAATGCAACACAAGCTGGAATTGCAAACCATGAAAAAGGGGAGTTTGACAATGAGAGAATACTTAAACAAAATGAAAGCTTGCTTTGATCTTTTAGCTGCAGTGGGTGAAAGAGTCAGTGAATCTGATCAGGTTCTGCATTTATTGAGTGGTCTTGGACAAGAATATAACTCTATTATGGTAGCTGTTACCTCTAGGCTGGAACCCTGGACAATGATTGATCTTCAAGCCTTACTTTTGAGCTATGAGTCAAGACTAGACTTCCTAACCACCAATGTGAACCAAGTAAATTCTGATGGGTCACAACCAACTCTCAATATTGCTTCTAAAGAGTCTGGTGCTGCTATTCAAGGAAATACCTCAAACAATAGAGGCAGAGCTCCTATGTACAACAACTGGAGAGGCAGACCAGGTAGAAGAGGTTCTTTTAGAGGAAGAGGTGGCAGATATCAAGGCAATAGAGTGCAGTGCCAAGTTTGTGGTATCATGGGGCACACTGCTGATAAGTGCTGGCATAGGTTTGATCAGTCTTTTGTGCCAAATCAGAACAACACTCACAGCAACTTTCAGAACAGGAACAATTCTCAGCCAGCTCTTCACATGGCTCAATCTGGTGCAAACTCCTCAACAAGTTCTGAAATTGGTCTGGATAGTGGTCTGTGGTATCCTGACTCAGGTGCATCAAACCATGTTACTAATGATTTCTCCAACCTCAGTATTTCAAATGAATATCTTGGTGGCAACAGACTTCAGATGGGAAATGGTTTTGGTGAGTCAATAAGTCATATTGGTACAAGCCATTTGAAGTCACCTGTGACTTCCAGAATCTTTGTTCTTAATAATCTTCTTCATGTACCAAGTGTCACTAAGAATCTATTGTCAGTTTCCCAATTTGCCAAGGATAATGGTGTTTATTTTGAATTTCATCCTACTGTTTGTTTTGTGAAGGACCCAACAACTCAGGCTGTTCTACTCCAAGGGAAACTCAGTGAAGGCTTGTACCAGTTTGATCTTCATTCTACAAGAAAAGATGATGAACCAGTGGACATCAACCATGAAGTGAACTCTTCTTCTGCTTATGCTGTTACATTTCCAAGAAAACCCAACTTAGAGTTGTGGCACAAGAGATTAGGGCATACTGCTTATGATGTAGTTGAAAAGGCCTTAAAATCTTGTAATATGACTTATGATTTGAATAAAGAAAACAGTTTGTGTTCAGTGTGTGCAGTGGCTAAAAGTCACAAACTTCCTTTTGATAATTCTGGTACTGAGTATGATCAACCTTTACAACTTGTTCATTCAGACTTGTGGGGTCCAGCACCACTTAAGTCTAACAATGGATATGTTTATTATGTTTGTTTTATTGATCACTTCAGTAAGTTCACATGGGTTTATTTCATGAAGCAAAAGTCTGAGGTGCATGATATCTTCTTACATTTTAAAGGCATGGCAGAGAAACAGTTCAATGCATCTCTAAAAATCTTTCAAAGTGATTGGGGAGGAGAGTTCAGATCATTAACTACTTATTTGCAGCAAAATGGCATCATCCATAGAGTGTCTTGTCCACACACACCTGAACAAAATGGTGTGGCAGAGAGGAAGCATAGACACCTCATTGAAATGGGATTATCCTTATTGGCTCAGTCACATTTACCTACAAGATTCTGGGATGATGCAGTGGGAGCAGCTTGTTACATCATCAACAGAATACCAGCAAAGGGCCTTAACTACAAGAGTCCTCTTGAGATGCTGCACAAACACAAACCAAACTACAATAGCTTAAAAGTGTTTGGTTGCCTATGTTTTCCCCATTTGAGGAGTTTCAATAAGAATAAGCTGGAAATGAGATCACAACCTTCAACCTTTATTGGCTATAGCAATTCTCACAAAGGGTATAAAATCCTTTTGCCAAATGGAAAGGTAATGGTCTCTAGACATGTCATTTTCAATGAAAACATTTTTCCTTTTGCTCAGACTCCTGAACATAGCACAAATGTTCAAAATTCATCTTTACCACCTGTTGGTAGTCCTCCTTTAGTTCCAAGGGGAAGAAGACCACAGTCTCATTCACAAAGGGTGAGCCACACTCCTGCAGGCAATGCTGAATCTTCTTCATCAGAAGGGACTAACAGTTCTAAAAGTAATAGTACAGCTCCTATATATGTGCATCTGCCTATCTCAGCACCAAGCACACCAATCCCTGCAGCCTCTATACCACAAGGGAATGAAAATAGGCACCCTATGGTTACCAGGTTAAGAGCTGGAATTTTGAAACCAAGAGCCTTAACTGGAGTGATTGAAGAAAAGGAACCAAGCAGTCTCCATGAAGCCTTAGAATCAGAGAATTGGAAAGAGGCTATGAAGAATGAATATGCAGCATTAATGAAAAACAAGACATGGTTTTTAACCTCACCTCCACAAGGAAAGAACATTGTGGGATGCAAATGGGTTTTCAAAATCAAGAGAGATGTCAATGGCAAGGTCAGCAGGTATAAAGCAAGGTTAGTTGCTCAAGGCTTTTCCCAAGCCAAAGGTTTTGACTTTCAAGAAACCTTCAGTCCAGTTGTCAAGCATACAACCATAAGAGTCTTCTTAACCATAACTACTGCCTTGAATTGGAAAGTTAGGCAGCTTGACATCAACAATGCCTTCCTTAATGGTGAACTATCTGAGAGCATTTATATGCAGCAACCTCCAGGATTCGAGGAAGAATCAGAGACACCTTTGGTTTGTAAACTTACCAAGTCCATATATGGACTGAAACAGGCTTCAAGGGCCTGGTTTTTGAAGGTGAAATCTACACTTCAGAATCTTGGTTTCATTTGCTCAAGGGCAGATAATTCCTTATTCCTCAGAATAACCAAAGGTGCTGCCATCTATCTTCTAATATATGTGGATGATATCTTGATCACTGGAAGTGATGAGAAAGAAGTTAACAAATTCATTGAATTGCTGGGAAAGAGTTTTTCACTCAAAGACATGGGAGAACTACACCACTTCCTAGGCATTGAGATAAAAAGGACTGAAGATGGAATTTTTCTCAGTAAAAAACAGTATGCTTGTGACCTTCTACACAAGGCTTCAATGAGTGGTGCAAAGGGAATAGCTACTCCTATGGCTGCAGCTACCCAACTCAGTAAATATGAAGGGAAAGAGAGCTGTAATGGAACTTTATTCAGGAGCATAGTGGGAGGCTTGCAGTACTTGACAATTTCAAGACCAGACTTGGCTTATAGTGTCAACAAAATAAGCCAGTACATGTCAAATCCCTTAGACACTCACTGGAAAGCTATTAAAAGGATCTTGAGATATGTGAGTGGCACTATTAACTATGGACTGAATATTTCAAAGGCAATGAACTTCAACCTAGTTGGTTTCTCAGACTCAGACTGGGGAGCAGATGTTGATGATAGGAGATCAACAACAGGTTTTTGTATGTTTCTTGGAGGAAATTTAATCTCTTGGAGCTCAAGAAAGCAAGCATCTGTATCCAAGTCCAGTGCTGAGGCAGAGTACAAGAGCTTATCACATGCTTGTGCTGAAGCTATGTGGATCATCTCTTTGCTCAAGGAAATGAGAATCAAAATCCTGCAAAGGCCAGTTCTGTGGGTTGATAATCAAAGTGCAATAGCACTTGCCACAAACCCAGTGTCACATGCTCGCACCAAACATGTGGAGTTAGACTACCATTTTGTAAGGGAAAGGGTAGCTGCCAAACTTATTGATGTGAATCACATTCCTAGTTCTGAGCAAATAGCAGATGTCCTAACTAAACCTCTCAGTGTGCAATTCTTCTCAAGGCTACGCGGTAAACTTAAAGTTTCTCCTTACCCTTTGCTCGAATTGAGGGGGGCTGATGAAATATATAACTATGTGGACGTTGACCAAGTCAAGAGTGAAGAATGATAGCTTGTATTTATGTCCACCTTTGCATGCATGGGACCACTACTTTTATTTTTGAATTCCTTGTCTTTTAGCTATGGTTGTTAGGGCTTTGATCTCTACATATAAATATTGTACACAGTGAACTCATTGGGAATAGAATACACATAATTTCAGATCTGATGTGATTCATGTTAGCCGCCATGTACGGCCTTCTTCTTCTTGCTTGCGCTGTAACATAAAATTCTTCAGTCCTCCACCACAAACATTGTCTCAATGGTGTGCTCTTCCTTGGCTCTGTCTCGCGGTGGCATAATATGAAAAGGTGTTAGGATTTTGTGATGATTTGGAGACTTTTTCCTTTTCTTTTATTTTCTTATATTATGAATATTTTTTCACATACCATGAGTAATATATTATTATATACTATAATACTTGCTTTAATCCCAAGCTTCAAGGTCATTTTGGTTGTGGCTATTACGGTACATTAATTCACCCTATTGGATTAGGTTTTTCATTCGATATGTGTGATTGGGTTGATTCAACAGTGAA